TTTCTTTTTTTAAAAAAAAAAATCAGTTCCTTGGCTAATTTTTCTCAAACCAATAGATGGTCAATTTATATGAGAAAATTTCAATTATTACAATTCTAGATTTTGTACTTAGTTAAATTTATTAACACTAAAATTCTGTTGATAATATAATGATTTTCGTCTAAATTTATTATCTTTTTACAAATTATAAATTAGTTCAGTAATTTAGCTTTAAATTAGGAAGCATAATAATACTTCAATTAATGTATTGAATCAACCCTGTCATTTTAGAAACGGTTGTCACAGCACTCTCGAACCCTGAGACCAGAATCCACTGCTTTGATGGAACGAAAATCAAAGTTTTTTTCCAGAAAAGAGAGAGAGAAAGCTTTGTATGGTAGCAATGCGAATTGGTTGTGAACGCATTTATTCAAAGGTTTGATACGTTGTAAACCACAGGCAAAATTCGCCTTGTAGTTTTAATTTGAACTAAAGAATTTTGTTTGCAAATACAAATTTGCTCTTCATTGTTAAATAATGTTCATAAATTGCATGCTGAATAAATTGCATGCAATTTATTCAGAATTTATATCCCACTCCGTAATATTATAAATTTTGTTACATCCATTAGCATAATTTTGCTTATAATTAATATAAAATATTATAAAAAACTTAATGGAAATGAGTTCTTTTTCAATATTGCTTGGCAGTGTTTAATTAAATCTCAGTCAGTATATAGTCTCTTAAAAATTGAGATTCATGGATAGGCACTCATGGTCATGAAGGACGCTTCGTGGAATGGCCTTGGCCTATTCTAGGCTGTAATACCAGAGAAGATATAGATAATGTGCATATAGTGAAAGAAGTACCAAGTAACCTAAACCTTTTATGATCAGGTGGTTTAATGAGAAAATATCTATAGCCTTTCTTTGTTGTAGTGAGATCAATAAAATGCAACTTTAGCATGTTTCACTACTTTCTTCAAATACAGAAAATAAACAAGTTTCTGCCAAAATTTTTACAATGGAAGTGGTTAGCCGTTGAGTGTATTGGATCTTCTTGTTCAAGTAGTATTTTTATCCACTAACATCGAAATTAAATTTCATTAATTAATAGAAATCAAATCAGTCTCATCAGAATTATAAATTATACAAAGGAAAAAAATTTGACCATTCTACTAATCATAGAATTGGATATTTGCAATTTGAGAATAAGTGAAGTGATTATACCTAGCCATGTAATCTGAATCAGGTTTAATTGGATACCTGTAAGCAACGTCACGCAGTAGTGCATGTCTATCAAACCAGATTGGTTTCTGAATTGACAAATACCTCTATTTACCAACGATGACGTCACTTGCAGGTTTTCATGCAAAATTCATGAATAATTTCTTCACCTTTATTTTCATTGGTCCTCTTGTGACTGTTGAAAATCCATGCCCGGTAAGGAGCTTGTTACTCGGCTCACTGATGTGGATTTTTCCAGACTAAAAAAAAAAAAAAAATAATAATAATAAAAAGTTTTTTAGTTCCGTGACTAGTGTCTGACCAAGCAATGAAAGATTTTAGTCATAAGTTGTGCCAGAATGACATCACAAATCTAAAATTCTGAATACATATTAGTGTTATGTTATTCTAATGCATTTTATCTTGAGAATTTTTTATCGCTTGCTTTTAGGGACAGATCCGTATGAGTTTGTCAGATGGAACATTGATTTACCATTTCTTAAGATATTAGAGAAAAACTTAATTAAAAATTTTATTTACTTCAAAAATATACAAAATACAAATTGGAATTAATAGTCGACATGTTTCAAGTGCTCAAAAATAACCCAGACGTGAATGTTTAGTTTTTTGAAAAATGTCAACTGTTATTTATAATCTGTATATTTTTGAAGCGAATGGAGTTTTTAACCAAGTAATAGTTTTAACATGCGTTATTAAATATTCAATACATTCTATTAATATTTCTTCAAAAAAATTGATTAATATGTTTCACGTTTATAAAAATGTATGTTTTATTATAAATAAATGTATATGTTATCGGCAAAGTTTGAAACGCCGGCATTCTATAGAATGCCTACGCATTGTATATAATGCCGGACGTTTTTAGACAAGGTATGAAATATGAGAAGTATTACATACTTTCCCTAGGCAATGTATATAATACCTAGGCATTCTATTGAATGACAAATGCTATTTAGGCAAAGTATGAAAAAAAAAACGTCTTGATGAGGTTATTATGTAAATGATGGGCATTTCTCAAAAATAAAAATGTTATTCTGAAAAAATAATAAGAGTGGCATTAAAAAAATTTATTCAAAATACGTAAAGAAATATGAAAGTTGTACAAAACATAATTTATGCCTTTCTTCTGTAGGATAAAAATAACCATGCCATAATAACCTAATGAATCATTAATAAAAAAGACAATTAATTTTTACATCTAAACCAGTTCGATTGCTGTATGAATTTTTTAGGATGTTTTTACTTTTATCAAACTCCTCTACGTTTCCTCCAGCAATCAAACGGTATGAAAAATTTTCCTCTTGCCTTCCTTATTAATGATTTACCAGGTTTTGATGGCGTCTTTCATTTTTTTTCTCGTTATGTGCAATGTGCCAATAATCTCCAATGTGCATATTTTTTACTTCATTTTTATAAGAGTTCTAAAAGAAGCATTCATTCATAAAGAATAACCAAGTGTTCGACTTACTTCACCGTGAGATTGCATTCTAGCTGCCGTATTCACTGTGTCGCCGAAAAGACAGTATCTGGGCATTTTCAAACCCACGATACCAGCTGCCACGGGTCCTGAGTGCATGCCTGCAGAATATAAATATGTCAGAATAGAAGTGTATGTAGATAATATACTTCTACTAGAAACTGATATAAGCATCACTTGCAATTCTCAAAAAACAACACTTAATTACTATTTTCTTTGTTATTCAAAAAACGAATGACAGAATTCTACGGGATCTTCTTAATCATAATATAACAGGCAATATGCAATACTTTATACAAAATTTCTTAAGTAAGTTAACTTTCTAAGTTCGAATCTTTTCAGAACTCTCAGATGAATTCAAACAGAAAGAATGTGTTCCCCTAACGCTGTTTATCCTTAAAAATTAATGAAATAATAACGAAGCTTTCACCTACTGTTGAAGAAGGATTCTTTATGGACGATTTTAGGATACCTCTTAGAGCTACATGCATGCGGACTGTCGAACGTCAACTTCAGCTTGCAATAAATACTATATTACACTGGGCGAGTGTTACCTTTTCTCCCACAAAAACATCATGTGTGCACTTTAGTAGAAAACGAGGGCTACATCCACAACCTGAATTATATCTTAAAACAACCCGTATTCCACACACACACAGTTCTAAATCAAATCAAATTTCTCGGTATAATACTTGACTCCAAATTGACTTTTTTTTTTATCTCACATACAATATCTTTAAAAGAAACTGCAGGAAAAAACTAAACTTGCTTAAAATGTTATCAAACAACTCGTGAAGTGCAAATTACTTTTCTAAGCTAAAAATTTACCGTACTATTTATTCGTTCGAAATTAGATTATGGTTCAGCTCGGAAATCTGTGATAAGATATTTAGACTCAATTCATAATGTAGGCTTACGTATTGCGACAGGTGTCTTTTGCACATCTCCAGTTAATGGCTCATATTCTCTAAGTTTGTATCTCCTCTTCAGACAAAAGTTAGACCTTAACTATTTTCACTTTAATGAAAAAGCGATGAAGATGGGTTGCATTTAAGTTTTACACTAGATTATGAGAGACTGTTCGAGAACAGACCATCGTTAAAACCAACTTTTGGGTTAAGAATGAAAAAGCTTTTAAGCGACTTAGAACTTGTGGATTTTAACGTTTCAGTGCCAGTTGAACGCACTACATCATGAAATATTTTACCTTTTCAAATCATCACTGTTTTTAATCAGTTTACTAAGCCTCAAACATCACATCTCATCCATCTACCAACAAACTTTAATCCCCATCGCAGGGCTCGAAAAAACTCAGAAATTTTACCCGTCCCCGAGGACGGCTTGTCCAAAAGTGTACCCGTCCTCCTTTGAAACTAACCCGTCGCTTCTAAATAAATAAAAATATAATTTTCTCTTATTTATTACAAACATTTATATAAATTGCACAATGAATTAGTAGTTACTAGGATTGCATTATACAATAATAAAAGAAATACTAGGTTACTAATAGTAAAACCTAGTATTTCTTTTATGAAATAATTTANTATAATTTTATAATATAATCGTATAATATAATTTTAAAATCAAATATAATTTTAATATCAAACTTTTTATGGATTTGTACGAAAAAGAAATTTTATCAATTGATGTTAATTTTTAGTTTATTATTTTTATTTATTTAAATTACCATTGATTTAAAATTGTTCTACTCTATAGAAACACTTTTTAAAAACACAAACAAAGCAAACACGGGGTTTCAGATAGCATTGTGATCTTTGAGTAAAAAATAATTGAATGTGCAGTATAAGTTGAAACAGAACAGTCTACAGTTTTATTTGTAACAATGGCTAATGCTAAAGTCATGCGAGAAAATCATTTTCCGAACAATTCTGCCTAACGGAATAACTAAAATTTGTAAACGAATTTTAGTATCAGCGGCTAAATTAATAAATTCGAGTTTTCAAGAGTTAAAATAGTAATTATAAAAGTTTTCAATAGCCCAAATAGTTCTGAAGTTCTTAGAGATTTGACTGGGCTTTGTTTGACAAGGTAGGGCATAAACATAATTTTAGTAAAAAATGTATTAAGATAGACAAATGTATTATTAGTGAGTTCAAAAAGAAAATTGAAAAACGTAACAACAAAATCCAACGTTTTTTACTTAAAATGTATTAAATAAATGCATAAAACTCGAAAATGAATGAAAATAATTTGTTAATTAATATTTTTACTCATATTGCAAAATAATTGCATTTGGAAAGTTGTGTCACTGAGTCTGCTGCGAGAATTTCTCAGAACGTGCTTAGCAACGCTGAATAAGCGCTCCACGGGAGCACTAGAAGGTACTGCAGTATTATATTTCACATATAAAATTTTTACGATTGGATATTGATTCAAAATTGATATGCTTTCGGTTTCGACATTTGAGCTTATGTATGCCATAAATTCTTCTGTCGCTGGTGATTGGCATGATGTTTTCAGCTTTAGAAAACTTAAAATACATGTTTTTTTTCTGTTACGTTATTAGTTATAGCAGGGTGTTCAGCTTGGACAATTCATTCCAATTTTTTTGTAGCCTCCTGCCTAGCTTTTTCTTCCAATCAATTAAAGTTGATTCAATGTACCAGACCTGTAGCAAACAATAAATCGTCCTACGATTTCTCATCGCGAAACCTTTCGCGCACGCCATCTAAAAGAGCTTTGTTTAAAGGTTTACAAACTCTTGTTTTAATAATGTTACTATGAAGCTCTTCTTCAAAAGAGCCGTCTTTTCACTTTCAGGAATGACAATTTTAAAAGGTCAAGGTATTTAAACACGAAGTTAGCTGTGAATGCATATGTATTGCACATTAATTTTATAAATTAAAAAAAAACATAAGCATTTTTTTTAATAATTTTTTTTTTTTAGAAAGCTTACCGAGTTTTAGAAAAAAGTAACGATTTTATTCGACATTTCCGTTACAAATACTTGTACTTTTTCCCTAAAAAGTAACGAAAGTACAAGTAAAAGTACGTACTCTTTACTTTTACCGGCGGTACAAGTAACGAAAGTAAAAGTACTGTCATATATGCTTATGACCCACCGCAAGTCTAAATTCTGCCACAGCCTTTTCACGGGGTCTGTACAAAAAAAAAAGTTATCTCTTAACTATTTCACTTAAAATGCCACCCATCTTCATCACTTTTTCATAAAATTTTTACACTAGATTATGAGAGATTGTTCGAGAATAGACCATCTTTAAAACCAACTTTTGGGTTGAGGATGAAAAAGCTTTTAAGCGACTTAGAACTGGAGGATTTTAATGTTTTAATGTCAACTGAACGCACAGCATCATGAAATATTTTACCTTATCAAATCATCAATGTTTTTAATCAGTTTGCTAAGCCACAAACATCATATATTATCCATCTACCAGCAAACTTTAATCGCCATCGTGAACAATATAAAGATTACAAGTCTATTTTTATAGACGGACCAAAATTTCCGAATCACGTAGCACCTGCAATCGTGACTGATCATCATACCATAGCCGAAAGACCTATCCCATATTCATCCGTTTTTACTTCAGAATGCCATGCCATTATTTAAGCCCTGAAACACATTTTTTCTTAGAACTACAAAAAATGATTGATATATTACTGATTCAAAGAGTTGTGTCCATGTCTTACGCCATTGAGTAAATAAACCTCATACCATTTTACCCAAAATTTTAAACTTTTACAATAAATTGACAAATGGTATTTGTGATATTCTTTTATCTTAGATCCCTGGTCATGTTGGAATTCCAAGGAAAAGAAATGGCAAATTCTACTAAAAAAATAATAATGAAAAGACCACTGACATATGCAGATATTAAAAATGTTATAAATAGTACATTAGCTAAAACATGAGAAGCAACATGAACAAGTGAAATTAATAATAAACTGTTTCAAATAAAACCATCAGTAGTCCCTAATGAACCATTAAAAATGCCTAGAAAATTAGAAGTCATTATAAATAGGTTACGAATTGGACACAAACGTTTCTCCCACAAACCTTTATTATTTGATGAACCAGCTCCCGTATGTGCAGGATGCCAAGAAACTTAAACAGTTAAACATATTTTGACCCAGTGTATTAAATATAAACAATTTAGACGTTGATACTTCAACCATGAATTTCCAACTTTACGGGATTTAATTGGAGACACTTCTCACAAAAATTTTATATTTCATCTTAGGGACATAGGTTTTTACTCAATAATTTAATTCAACTTTTACCCTTTGATATTACTTTTACCAAGTGAGAAGTGTGGTATAGCCTAATATGGCTCTTGCACTAAAAATAACTAGTTTTTCTATATCATAGCTACCACGTGTACAATCAGAAAAAAAATTTCAAATTGGTGGTAAAATAATAATTAAGGCAGGTAAGTATGAGTAATTCTTATATAAATTAAGCTATCTTGCCAACATTTAAAATCATAACTCTCAAACTATATATCTGGGACATTGTGGTAGGTGAAACAAATTCTTTTAGAAACCAACAAGGTTTCAACTTTAAACAAAAACAGTGCCACCTCTTTAAAACATTCTCCTCAATGATTGTAGAAATTCGCAATTATGAAATTTTCTTTATGTAATCCAGTTACGTAGTAAAAACGATTCAATCCTTTGAAGTGGTTGTAAAATTTTACATAAATGTATTTTTATTAAAAACTACATCGCTAATATTATATCAGAAGTAGTTACATACCTGCCAACTTTTAATACCTTCCATTGTCATTTTCCCCAGTGGTATTAAAATGGAATTAAAACTTAAATTTTAAGCAAACAAATACGTTGCATTTGAAAAGACTTAAGTTGACTACCATGATAGTACCGCATATTAATATATGTGCTTAATTTTTGAAAGAATAGTGGTGATCAAAATCATTTAAAAATTAAGTTTATAAAAGAAAAAAATAGTATATATTTGCTACCACTTTAAATATGAAAATAAAATCTTCCGGAAGAGTTGGCAGATATAATTTGTAGTATTTCTCCCTCAGTAACTTTCAGACTATACAACCTAAAATTAGTTAATATGATCAAAATATTTTAAATTAAAAGGTGGTAGCTA